GCCCTCCTCACTCTTATCTTGCATCATCGCATATTTGGAGATGACTTCATCTAGCCGGCTCATAGCCAAGCTCCGGTTTTCCCGCAGGCGCCGGGCTAGGGTGGGATCTGACAGTGCAGGGTCAATGCCTATATGGGAAGATTTAAAGTCAGAGTACTCAGTCCAGACCCTAGAAGAAGGGACACAAGAGATGCCCCCTCTACCACACACCTGACATATAAGGGTTAATGATGGGCATCTCACTAATCCCTACCTGGCCTATAGTCATCTGTGAGGTGACAGCCAAAGTTGTAGATGAGATCAAGGTGGCGTCGCTCCTGTAGCCTGATGCCCACATCTCGGAAGGCATCTTGAGCCATGAGCTGGAGCTGCTGTCGGGGGAGGCCAAGGCTATGCCGAGCAGCTGCCTTCTCCACGGCCCGCAGCACATCTCCATAGTCAGGGAATGTATCAGGCCCTGGCTTGTTGATGAGGCGCTCGATGCGCCTGTTAACCTCTGGGTAGCGGGTGCCACGGTAGGGAATGCGCTGCTCTATGACGCGGCCCGTCAGTGAAGAGCAGTCTTTCAGCTCACACAGCCGCCCAAACAGGCGGATCAGCTTCCTCTTCAACCTTGCTTCCTGCAGGTATGTGGAGTCTGGGTCATCCAATTCTTTGAGATCCAACTCCTTTTCCTGCAGCCGCCGAATCTCTGCCACATAGAGTGCTAATAGCTGCTCCAAGCGCTGGATCTGCCGCCGGGAACCACGGGTCCTTGGGACCTCAGAGCCAGTGGTCTCAGCATTTGTGGGGTCCAAGGAGGGGTCTGCGGGAGGGTTATTCCCAGAGGACTCACTAGAGGTGGTGGCAGCGGGGGCCAGGTTCAGCTTTTTCTTGGCTGAGTGAGCCTTGAGAACAGTGCAGAGCTCATTAATGTACACATAGAGTTTAGCTGGCCGGCTCTGGGCCCGAGACAGGACCCGAGTAAGGATGTTGCAGAACTCCGCAGAGGCCAAAAACAGTGAGTGGGCACGCTGCTGCCGTTTATAGAGGAAGGGGACCACATCAGGGTGGTCTGCTGTCTGCGCCTTACACAGTTCAAGGAACTGGAGGGTTCAGGGGAAGAAGGGAGAGGGAAGGAGATAAGGGAAGGGGTTGAGAGAAAGAAGGCAAGGTGGGATTAGTGGGGAAGAAAGGACAGGAGAGCCAGTCAGCCACCCCTCTCCCTGGGGTACAAGAATCTTCTCCCCTAAAGCTCACCTCTTCAAACAGCTTCTCATTCTCCAACTTGTAGCATTTCTTGCCGCCCGAACTACTGTTCCCTCCAGCCCCATGGGACTGAGAGGAGCCAGGGGCTTCTGCCCGGGGTGAGGTCGGATTGGGGAGTGGGTGGGAGGGCCCTGGCTGAACAGCTGCTTCATCTTCGTCATCATCATCCAGCACAATGATGCTGTTATCGGTGGCCATGGGGGATCAAATCCCCCAGAGGGAGGAAGTGTTGGGGATTTCGTAATTCCTGCTGGAAGGGGATGGGGCCTTAGAAAGAGCCCCCTCCAGCATAGCCCCATCCCTTCATCTCACGCATTTTCCAACCTTCTTGGGCTGAAATAACACCCAACCCTGCCCAACAGTGTCCTCACTGCCTATCTTCAGCAACTATTAGTATCATGTTTTTTTGGGCCCCTACTAGGGAGCCCCAAGGCACCTGAAACCTCAAGTCCCCACCTCCAGCTCCACCCCCCATATATTATATCCGGTATTTCATTTGTGGTTTCCCCAGTATTTCTCCTAGCTGGCAAGTTGATTTTTCCCTCCCAACCCCTGGACCACTTCCCACACTGCACTCCAGATTTCACCGAGATCCCCTAGCACTGGTACTAAAACTACACCCATCAGTACCACCTCACGTGTTTTCCCCCTTTTGCTCTCGAACATGTCAAACTCACACCTTCACCCCATTCTGAAGGATCACCCCAACTCCTAGACTCTGAGGTGAATAATATTCCCTCCTAACAATACATTAGCCTTTCCAAATTATCTCCATATTCCACCCCTAATGGGTCTCAAACCACGTAGTTAAATTGGAGGTGTCTCACCTCAAATCCCCTCCCTCTCACCCCACCCTAATTTCCCCCATTCTCTCTATGACCTGTAACCAACTGTGAGCCCCGCAGTGTGTTCTCCCGATTCCTCTCGGATCGCAACCGTATGTTTGGCCCCTTCCTCAAGAACAGCTTCCCGCCAAGTCCCCCTCCCCCAGTTCAGCCCCCGCCCGCCCCTCTCCCCTTGAGGGATGAGGAGGAGGGTACCACAGCTTGCCCCTCAGACTTAGCGCCCGGGACTCCCCAGTACCTCTCCCTTGACATTCCCGCCCCCGCCTTCGATCCCCGCACCGTCCGGCCCGCACCTTAGAAACTGCCTCTCGAGGCGACCCTCACCGCGGATATCAGAAGCTCGCATGGTTCCCTCCTCTTTCCTTCCCCCTCCTACCGCAGGCCCTATTCTGGACCGGAAGCCGCAGAGTTTCCGCCTACAAGAACCTAAGTGCGGCCATATTGTCGTACGGAACCCAGTCCCCCCCTGTAGCCGGAAATGGCGGTACGCCCGATCCCCGAACCCCTACAAAGTATTGCCGCCTACATAGTATGAGGCTCTTTTTTCCGTCTGACCTGTACGGGACGCGCTTGTTCCCTCGGCGCGTCATTAAGCACTTGGGGGCCGCCATTTTCCGTACGGCACTTAACTCTGCTCAGACACCGAGGCGCCGTCAGTGGAGCTCTTTTCACCCAGCTAACCGCCGGCGAGTCGCGAGCGGGGAGGATTGAGTCACCTTTCTAAGTAGGTGAGGGGCAACTAAGGAATTGGGCCCTCCAAAGCTGCGCCTGGTGCACGGAAGGGTGGGAGTCTCTTATAAGCGAAATAAAACCTTTTCCTTCTGGGCTATTGACAAGCCTTCCTGAGCTGCTTTCCTACCTGCCCAGGTACCCGATTCCGCCGCTTCATCGACGGCGCCTGCCCTTTCCCTTAAACGGGCTGTTCGCTCCCTTGCTAATTCTACATAATGGTGACTACGTCTCCCAATCGTTAAATCAAAACATGCACACAAATCAACCTGCTAAACATTGTGGTGTTATTATTGCTATTGTTGACTTGCGTTTCAAGCTTCACATTCAGTGGCCAACCAAATAGATGGAACCTCTAGAGGTAGGCGGTGATGACCAAGAAGCTGTGCTTTACCCAGCAGCTCCAGGGCCTGGGGACTGAGATGTTTGGCTGGGGGGTCTTGAGGAGAATCTGTACGAATTGCTGTTGTGAGGGCTGTAGGACGAAATGAGCCCCGGAAAACACCTTGGGTGTTGTCCCCATTATCATTGGAGAAGCTGAGGAAGGAAGAAACCGACATTGTTTTTTGTTTTTCTTTTTCAGAAAGACTTGGAAATTTTTTCCCTTCCCCCCCGCCTTTTTTTTTTAATTTATTGATTTTAGAGATAGAGATTTAGTTAACTCTTCTATGCACCCTGACCAGGGATCAAACCCTCCACCCTGGCATATTGGAACCACGCTCCAACCAGCTGAGGTACTGGATCAGAGCAGAAGAATCTGGCTTTGACGTCTGCCTCACCCTCATCCCACCTCACCCAGTTTTAGGGAGGCTGGAGGAACTCATGGAGGCAAGGCTGGCTGGAAAGGTGAGCTTGTAGAGAAACCAGAAAGGCTGACACGATTCCATTGGCTGAGATTCCCCACCTCCTGCCGCCATGCGCATTCCACAGGTGGTGAGAATTATGTCACTTTCTAGGACTGCAGAGGTCCCTACCCCTCCAAGCCCACGGAGCCCCGGAACTGTAAGGCCTCCCTTCCATTAAAGAATCCCACACCACTTCCAGTTGTCTAAGCCTGCTGTCTTCAAATTGGGGAAAATGAAAAATCTTCAAAGAGCACTCAGACTTGAGAGATACAAGGGATTTAACTTCCAGATCCTCAACTTTCCCAAAAATTGTCTTCCTGAGTAAATACCTGCAGTAAAGGTTCTTTTTCTTCCTTTTCTCTTTTACAATATAGTTTTTCCCTCTTTAAAAAAATTACAGTTCTCAGTTATGAAATCTGGAGATAATCTTACCTTTTTTTTTTTTAAGTATTTATTTTCTAGAGAGGGGAAGGGAAAGGAGAGAGGGAAAGAAACATCAACGTGTGCTTGCCTCTGGCATACCCCCACTGGGGACCTGTCCTGCAACCCAGGCATGTATCCTAACTGGGAATCAAATCAGCAACCCTTTGTTTTGTAGGCCTGTGGCACTCAGTCCACTGAGCCACACTATCCAGGGCTTACCGTGTCTTAAATAAACAGATATGTAACCTATTTCTTTGCCCAAGGAACCATAAACACCAACTTGTGTACTCATTAAAAATCTATTTTTTATTTTTAACTATTATAAAAATGTGCACAATCTTCATGCTATTTGATCAGTTCTGCTGTCATGATAATTGTAATGATAATCCTGAGGAAATTTTTTTTAAACTAGAGTTTTGGTCACAAGAAAGAAAAATATTTTTCATCTGAGACTTTCAAGTATAAAAGCATAAAATTGCCTCTGGGGAAGTGGAATGGTAAGAGGAGTTCAAGGAGAAAAGACAGAAAGAAGAAAAAGAATGATTCCCAATTGTTAAGAACATATTTATGTATTTTTTAATGAATGAGGTAGGTATATTCCAGTTCCCCTGGACATTCAAAAGGGTGATTTAATTGTTTTTTATTTTTTTAAATGTGAATTTTTTTAATATGCCAGGAATTATACCCTTGAAACAATTTCAATTTATGATGAAAAAATTTAGATGCTTACTTAAAAATATATGAGGAGTATGAATTTTTTCAAAATTGTTTCCTGGAATAGGTGCAGAAATTTTAGGCAGCTGTTCTAAGCTATCCAAGTGTGCCCTCCACAGTCCCCAACAGTCTTACTTGCCCCCACCTCCCCTCTTACCTCCACAGCAGGGTAAAAGGATGTTTATAGAAAAGCTGCTCACAATTCCAGCTCCTCCTCATTCTGAGGTGTTCCCAGGAGCCAGTCCCCAAACTTTGCCCATGGTAGAGAACACAGCAGCTTAGAAAGAGCATCCAGCATCAGTAGTGTCAGGCACCCAGGAAGATAAAGAGGGCCTTGTCCAAGGCCTGACAAAGAGGACCCCTGGGAGGAGAAGGACCCTGGGCAAAAGCCAGGAACACATCCTCCTCATCCATACTACCTTCCTCCTCTGCCATCCTAACTGATGGTCTGGCAGCTAGCTGGATCAGGGAGACTGGGATGGAAGCCCTTGCTCAGCAATGCCAGGATTACGGGGCATGGTGGCTGCAAGTCCTGCACCTGCCTGGCTTGACCCCAATTCCTGAGAGAAAGAGACAGAGAATGGGAGATAGGAGAGTACAGCCCCTGAGCCTTTGGAACAATCATAATTATCCAATGCAATGTGAATGATCTGGTATGCTACCGTAAGTCACTGTCAGTCAAAGATCTAAAGTCCATTCCAGATTAATAGTGGGTGCTGGGGGTTGGGGTGGGACTCTCTTAACAAGGCTGGTGAGAATAAGCAGCTGCAGGAGTCCAAGGGGAGGTTTATATATTTTTTTTAAAAAGAAGGAAGTAGAAGAAAAAGAGGAAGAGGAGAGGGCGAAAGGAAGGAAGGAAGGAAGAAAGGAAGAGAAAGAGGAAGAAAATGAACATGGCTTGTCAGCAGGGCAAGAGTGTATGATTGGGATTTACCAAGTGGGGCAATAAGAGATTTTTCCATGGGAGGTCCTGGTCTGAGAGTTGCTGGTGGGAAATATTCCCCAAGAAATTGTCTTAGAGCAAGTATTGAAGGCTTTTTCTGGACCCTGTTCCCCAGGCACAGGCCTGAAGTTCAGTGAGAGAAATGGAAGCACCTAGGGAGACCAGGGGTCCCTGGGATAAGTGGGGGCTATGGGACAGACTTCAGAGGAAGTATGTATGTGGTAGTGGACTTCATATGTGGAGCCTTTAGGGTCTCCTACCTAAACTTCATTTTGACCTTAATAGGAAGACCTTATTTACTTGGGTAGATTTTGTCCACTCCAAATGGTACAAAGGATGTCACAGTTTTGTTTTAGAGTCAACTCATCATTTCCTGTTGCCACAGCGGTTCACGTTATGAAACAGAAAAACCTGGGATCAGGGTCCAAACTAATCATTCATTAGCTGTGTTAAGTTAAACATAGAGGTCATTATATTGAAATAGCTCTCATTAAAAAGAACCAGGCCCCAGATGGAGTCACTTTTGCTAATCCCCACCAAGACTTAATACCTAACACAACTGCAGTTTCAGCCTCTCCCAGGAATGGAATTTTAAGTGAATCAGTCTGGAATTTCCTAGTTAAACTAGTAGTCTGTCTGATGAGACCCCGACCTTTCCCCTAAGAAAAGGTGACCTTGCTTGAAATAATCTACTCTTTTAACATCTTTGTTCCCTCTTCTCCTCATTTCTGCCTAGAAAAGCCTTACATTTGTCCAGCTCTCTAGGTGGAGGCGGACCTATTTACTAGATGGAATGCTACCTGATTCATGAATCATTGAATAAAGCCAATTATATCTATACTTTTACTCTGTTGAATTTTTGTTCCTTTTTTAACTTTTTATTATCTTTTAGTTCAGTTTATGTAATAATCTATATAAAAATCTATTGAATAAAAGTATTTATAAAGCAAATTTTTTATAAAGCAAGCTGAAAAATAAGTTGTTGAAGGGGTAGCCTTTAGTAAGTTAAATAATAGAGTTCTGGGGGGATTCTGTGATTGATGTACATTTGATTGAAAAAATAAACTGTGTTAGGTCACCATGCAGATTTGTACAACAATCAAATGCAGAAAAACCCAAAAAAGTACCCTTTCCTTCATCATAAGAGAACCAAGTATTTTTAGAAGCTAAAGCTATTAAGTTTACATCACCAAAACGCTAAACAAAAACTTTTTTTAACAACTGTTAAAAAAACTTTTTCAGTTTCTTTCCAATTTTTATTTTTTTAGATTTTATTTATTTCTAGAGAGCTGAAGAGGAGAAGAAAGCGAGGAAGAGAAACATTAATGTGTGGTTGCTTCTGGCACACTCCCTGCTGGGGATCTGGCCTGCAACCCAGGCATGTGCCCTGACTGGGAATCGAACTGGCGACCCTTTGGTTTGCAAGCTGGCACTCAATCCACTGAGCTACACCAGCCAGGGCCAAAAACTTCTTAAGTTTAAGAAAAAATTATGTTTTCTCATCTCTGTTCTTGGCATACATTTTAATTCCTTCCAGTGGAACCAAAACCTCCTGAACCCCTTTCAGTGTCATCCAAAACTTGAATATAGAAAAACCCATTCACAAATGAGCTGTGCGATTTGGTCACCTTTTTTAACTTCAAACTTTGCCAAAATTAAACAGTACACCACCAACATTTCCTCTATAATGTTCATCTATGACAGTAGCTTCTATATTTATGAAGTGTTTTGCAGCCAAGACAGTACGTGGAGCTACTCTTTCACAGCACCCAGCTGACGGAGCAATCTGAATGTTGGTTTTCACAAGGGCTTTCTCCATAGGTAATACTGTGTAATCATAGGTACTGTACAGATCTTAGCGGTCGGCCGCGCAAACCCCTTGGTCAGGGCTGTGGCGTGCTCCGAGAACCGGACAAAGAGGGGCCTCGCGGCACCCTCCTCCTCAGGCCGAGACCGCTTGCTGGGGCAGATGGTGCGTATCTCTTCAGAGCTGGGCATGGCAGAGCAGAACGCGGGCGTAGGTTGGAGCAGAGGAAAAGGAAGGCGCAAATGGGCCGCATTTTTGTTCTTTAACACTAATGCCATGGCAGTCTACTTAAGCAAACCAAAATCTAAACCTATAAATGCCTCAGTTAGGCTTTAAGGTATAGTCAATCAAACAATTTGTAATTGATTATGCTATTACAGTTCCAATACTTCCCCTGTTGCCCCCCTCTACCCAGCCCCCCCACTCCCTCCAGTAATCCCCACTCCTTTGTTCATATCCATGGGCCATGCATATAAGTTCTTTGAAAACTCCATTTCCTATACTTGCTCTTAACATCCCCCAGCCTATTCTGCAACTACCAATTTGTACTTCCTAATCCCTTCACCTTTCCCCTCATCCCTCAAGACCCCTCTCCCCATTGGCGACCATCCCAATATTCTCCATATCTATCACCATTTTAGTGTTCATAGTTTTGATCTTTTTTTTAAATAAGTCTCTTTAAAATTTCATATAATAATGGTTTGGTGATGATGAACTCCTTTACCTTTACCTTGTCTGGGAAGTGCTTTATCTGCCTTTCAATTCTAAATGATAACTTTGCTTAATAGAGTAATCTTGGATGCACGTCTTTGCCTTTCATGACTTTGAGTACTTCTTTTCAGCCCCTTCTTGCCTGTAAGGTTTCTTTTGAGAAATCAGCTGGTAGTCTTATGGGAACTCCTTTGTAGGTAACTGTCTCCTTTTCTCTTGCTGCTTTTAAGATTCTCTCCTTATCTTTAATCTTGAGTAATGTAATTATGATGTGCCTTGGTGTGTGCTTCCTTGGGTCCAACTTCTCTGGGACTCTCTGAACTTCCTGAACGTCCTGGAAGTCTACTTCCTTTGCCAGATTGGGGAAGTTCTCCATTATTTTTTCAAATAAAATTTCAATTTCTTGCTCTTCCTCTTCTCTTTCTGGCACCCCAATGATTTGGATGTTGGAACGTTTAAAGTTGTCCCAAGGTTCCTAAGCCTCTCCTCATTTTTTTGAATTCTTGTTTCTTCATTCTGTTCCAAATCTTTTATTTGATCCTAGTTTCTATACCTTCACTGTGGGTTCTCTTTTTATTTTTCTTTATGTACTTGCATAACCTTCATTTCTTCCTCTATTTTGCGACCATACTAAACTATTTCTGTGAGCATCCTGATTACCAGTGTTTTGAACTCTGCACTTGAAAGGTTATCTATCTCCTCGTCACTTAGTTTTTTTCTGGAGTTTGATCTGTTCTTTCATTTGGGCCATATTTCTTTGTCTCAGCACATCTGTTACATTTTAAGGGGCAGAGCCTTAGGTATTTGTCAGGGTGGGGCAACTCCCATCTCTGCATTGTGGTGCTGTATGTTGGGGAGGGGTCAAAGAGGGAACAATGCCTCTTGCTTGGCTCTTGGCTGGCGTTCAGTACTCCCCCCACTACCCACAAGCAAATTGGACCCTCCTGGTGCTGATTCCCAGGTGGGCAGCCTTATGTACATTGTAGGACCCTGTGGGTCTCCTCCACAAACCCTCCTGGGAGGCTGGAGGTTTCTTCGCAACCACCACCCCTGCAGATTTTTACAGCCAGAGGTTTTGAGGCTTTAGTTTCCCATGCCGGAACCCTGGGTTACATGGTTTGTCTCATTCCCCAGTTGTTCCTCCCGGTTTATCCACAAGCAAATGTGGGACTGCCAGCCACCACCTTGCCCACCCAGTTCTCCAGCCGCCATCTGGCTGCATGTCCTCTCCACCCCAGCTGCCAGTTTCTTCCCTCTTCCCACCAATCTGGTTGAATGTTTCTTCTATAACTCCTTGGTTGTTGGACTTCCATACAGTTAGATTTTCTGGCAGTTCTTGTTTGTTTGTTTGTTTGTTTGTTTGTTTTTTAATTTGTTGTTGACCTTCTTTTGGTTGTGCGAAGAGGCAAAGTGTATCCACCTATGCCTCCATCTTGGCCTGAATCCTTAAGACTATCTCTTTATGTTTAATTTTTGGCACTGTATTTTTTTTTTTTTTTTTTTTTTTTTTTAGAGAGAGAGAAGAAGAAAGGGAGAAAGGGAGAGAAACATCAATATGTGGTTGCATTTCATGCGCCCCCTGCTGGGAACCTGGCCTGCAACCCAGGCATGGGGGGCATGTGCCCTACACTGAGAATCAAACTGGAGACCCTTTGGTTTGCAGGCCAGCACTCAATCAACTGAGCCACACCAGCCAGGGCTAACCTTTGGTACTTTAATTATGATGTGTCTTAGTGTGGTCCTCTTTACATCCATCTTGTTTGGGATTCTCTGTTTCCTGTACTTGTGTGTCTATTTCTTTCACCAAATTAGAGAAATTTTCTTTTGTTATTTTTTCAAATAGGTTTCCAAATTCTTGCTCTTCCTCTTCTCCTGGCAAATGTTGGAACGTTTGAAGTTGTCCCAAAAGCCCCTTACACTATCCTTGATTTTTTTGTATCCATTTTTCTTCTTGTTGCGCTGGTTGGAGTCTTT